ACTGACTCGACAAAATCACACTCCAAACTTCTCTACTTGACGCACGAAAATTGGTCAACTACCGCCCCTCTTCTAAATATATTTAAGAACTTAAAAACAAAACTATATCCCACAAAATTGGCTATATAACACCAATCTACTTCTAATCCGTAACTCTATCTACCTCCCCTCCCCTCATTCATCACAAAATGGTGCTAACAACTGCGCGAGCTAAAATGGAGCTCTGCGCTTACTACGTCAGATATCGCGAGACTAGGGTGTGTGCGTGAACATTGTGCATCAAGATTTTATCTTTTAAAAACGTTACGGCACATTTTAAGGTGTTCTGAGCAGGTTTAACCATTTTAAATTACATTTGAGGCATTACAATATAGCCTATGTCTAGAGGTTTGTGAGACAAAATAATTTAAAGAATCACAAACTACAAATATTGCACGCAATAGCTCAATTCTTATCAGATAACCTCGTATAAAACATGTATAATTATTATTGTTATTTTTTATTAAAAGGGTCATTCTATTTAAATGTCCATTTTTCTGTCTCTAGCCTTTACAGAAATATTACACTTGAAAAACACTTTAGGGTTACGATTTATATTTTAAAATGAAACAATATGCTATTTGAACAATTCCACTTTGTTGAGCCATCAATGTGGCAATGTTTGTTTTTTAATTAATTATATAGAATTCCAAGCACCACAAAACTACTCGTCCCCACAGCCATGTACAGAGAAAAGCTGCTTTATTTTGATAGCCAAAACAGGTTTTTCTACAATTTAAAATAGCTACAACAATGTATTCATAACTATCAAATATATGATGTAAATTACATTTAAAAAAAAAACTAAATGCTGAATAAATATTATAAAATATATAATGAAAGTTGTGGTCCCCTGCAGTTGTCACTGGTGCTACCGTTTAACAAAAATCATTTATTTTGAAATAAAAATCACACTGATAACATCACTAGACTTCCTTCTTCCGATTTCCTGAAGATATATGAAGAAGGGCCCATGTTAAGTCCACTGTCTCTTTTCAGTTATCAGAAATGTTCTCATTTATCTCATGATTTCATATGAAGCTTTTACTTGAACTCACTGGTATGACCTACTTTATTGTTAGGGAATTGTAAAAAAATAGAATACAAATGGATTAAACTACTTAATTTAGTGAGTATACCATGATTGAAAACATGTGGTTTGATATCTTGCAGCAGACATTTTGTAAAATGGGTCATTCCGTGTCAACTCAACCAGAGGTCCAAATTTTTTATTTTATTTTTTTCTGAAGAAAGATAAACATGTATCGTGATGAAAGCCAAAATATTAAATGCCGTGGATGAATATTTACTGCCATTGCTATTGGGGGGAGTCAAAATGGCAATTTTCACCTGAGATTCAGAGCCAAACTACAGGGGGTTAAAAATGACTTCAGAAAGATGGCAGCATCATTATGTTACTTTTACACAGAGATTGGTAGGTCTATTAGTAAAATCTGTTGACTTTAGCAGTCTTTGTTGCATTATGTGCCAATGGTGACCATTCAAAATTGGGGAAAGAGCACTTTTCAAGTTTTTTTCTCCAAAGTTTGCAGGCCTGTAACTCAATAAATATTAAAGATATCTTAATGCCCTTTTAGATATTGGGTCTTAACAAACTTCCCTTTTGGCATCTTAATTTTTAAGGCCCTATATTGTTCAGTTCCAGAGATATTGGAATTTCAATATGGCTACAGGAGTAAATCATTAAATTGTACACATTTTCAGTGGTCAAAAACCAAATGTGGGTCCTTCTGTCAGAACAACTGCATTGAACATACCTGTCTGAGTGTCATATATATTGTTTTTCCAAAGTTTGCCTGCCTGTAACTCAAGAAGTATTAAAGATAATATGGTTTTAGATTCTAGTTCTTAATAAACTTTTCTTTTGGAGTCTTCATTTTCAAGGCCCTACATCGTTCAGCTTGAGCCGGGGACCTCTGCTTGAGTTGACACGGAATGACCCAAATGCATTTTTCATGAAAATTGTAACTGGTGTTACTGTCACTGGTGTTACCTTACTTATGGGTAAATAAATGCACAAAAAAGATAAACAAATCATTAAGCTGTCATTTATGTATAGCCTATTCATAAAGTCAAAAGGTAATCTAATTATGTGGTCTAAGTTTAAATGTTAGCAAAAGAAATACATTTTAAGACATCTTGCCATAACAAAAGTGGACATTTCTGTAGAATGACCCAAAAAGGTAATATGCCACAGACCCTCAAATGATCACCTTCATGCAATTCTGACATTTAAAAGACAGCCACTGTATACATTTTCATGTATAAATCCCAAATCTATGCTATGAAAAATTAACATTATAATTATGTTGAAAATATTTAGATTCTATTACATTACATTATCACGTTTTTACTCACAAATGTACTGTTGATGTATGTTTGTTTATTTATTTAATATTGTAATTATTTATTTTTATTCTTTTTATTTTTATTATCCATTTATTGTAATCGACATTTTTTTTTACATTGTTTTTAATTTGTACAAAGTTTTTTTTTTCTAAACTGTGTCACTACTTTTCACTGCTTGAAATTTTCATGCCAGTTGCACACTATTTCTACAGTCTGCTTTATGTACATGCTGTTTAATGTGTTAGTTTCACATACAATGTATACTGCGTCGCAGGTAGTAAGCAATCCGCTAGCATTAGGCTACTATTGTATTTGAACACAGCCATATGTGTGACGCAGAAGTTCGCACATTTGGAGATTCGCTGATTTACAAATCATCTCACATTTATACTCACTGCAAATAATTTTGTTATTAATTTCTTTATTTTTGAGCCTGAAGAAGACTTTTTTTTTTTTGCAATCTTTTATTTTTTAATTACAAAATTAGTTTTACTCTGAAACATGTTTGATTGAATAATAAAGACACAAAAATGATTCCATATTGTACTTGCGCTGTGTTGTAATATCTGTAAAGACGCGGTGACTAGCGCCATTGTTGCCAAGTCCGCAGTTTTCCCGCGGAAACAGTTTAACACTGTTGCCGAGGGTTGACCCCAGTAATATTTAGCCCCTGGAATGCGACTTGTACCAGGGGAACCCCGCCAAAACAACGTGTATTTTACCCGCGGAACCTGATTTTTACCGGGGTACCCCCCGCCAAAAGCAAGTGGGCCACTGATCTATAATAGATTATGGCTGCATCTGAAAGCTCTAAAATTCTGAATTATCTCGCAATTCTGAATTATCTCACAATTCTGAATTATCTCGCAATTCTGAATTATCTTGCAATTCCGAATTATCTCGCAATTATGAATTATTTCGCAATTCCGAATTATCTCACAATTCTGAATTATCTCGCAATTCTGAATTATCTCACAATTCTGAATTATCTCGCAATTCTGAATTATCTTGCAATTCCGAATTATCTCGCAATTATGAATTATTTCGCAATTCCGAATTATCTCACAATTCTGAATTATCTCGCAATTCTGAATTATCTTGCAATTCCGAATTATCTCACATGATCTAAAATGCTGCCTTCGGAGGCAGGAAGGCATCAAGGCACGTCCGAATCCAAATTCTGCTTCACTTCCTGTCTCCGGTACCTTCTTCTGATCCAATTTTGAGGGTAGCATCCTTCGCTGCCTTAGATATCCCACAATCCTGTGCGTTCCATTCCGTTACGGTTGAGTATGAAGGTAGAATGACGTCAAAAAGACTTGCGTACGCAGGGTAATATTTGTGGAAGTGTACATAAGACTGTAAGCGTAAATTAAATTTGCATGCGCAAGAGAAGCTTT